ACCCTCGGCCGAGGTGACCTTCCTCTTGGGCATGTTGGCGACAGGGAGGGCTCGTGCCGGGTGCCGGTGGGCCGCGGCGCGCACAGAGCCTTCGCGAAGCTGGGTTGCTCTGGCACTGCCTCTCTGCCCGCCGCCGTGCTGCTGGGACCCGCGGCGGGGGCGGTGGGAGAACCCCATTATATCATTTCTTAAAGTTCATAGAGTTTCTGAAAGCAAGGTATTTCAGAAGTGGATTCCACTCCTGCTTCCAAGCTTGTTATAATCTGGGAGCTCCACCAAACACTGTCCATCATGGGTAATCATGATTGCATTTTACACATCAGTGTCACAGTGTTCAGCATCATAGTCACCATTTCATCATTTCTTAAAGTTCATAGACTTTCTGAAGGCAAACTATTACGGAAGTGGATACCACTCCAGCTCCCAAGCTTGTTTAAATCAGGAAGCTCCACTAAATACTGTTCATCATGGGTAACCATTGTCACATTTGATACATCAGTGTCACAGTGTTTAGCATCACAGCTACTACGAGTTACCTCTGTACAGCAAATAGACCAGAACTATGTCACTAAGAAGAATGTTTGACCAAAAACTCTTAAAAAAAAAAAAAGGCCTGAGGGCCACAGATTAAAATCACCCATCTTTGGCTTGGTAGCATAACTTTCTATCCATAAGGTCAACAGAAATCTCTCTGTGTTGTTTGTTGTTAAGTGCCATCGAGTCTTAGATGACTCACTGTGACCCTATGAATGAAAGACCTGAACCTTTGTATAACTTTCATAGTGTCTCCAAGTTCATAGGGTTTCCAGAGGCAAGCTATTGCTGAAGTGGATGCCACTCCTGCTTTCAAGCTTGTTATAATCGGGGAGCTCCACCTAACATTGTCCCCCATGGGTAACCATGATCGCATTTGACACATCAGTGTCACAGTGTTCAGTATCACAGCCACCATTTATAATTTGTGTGTGTGTGTGTGTGTGTGTGTGCGCGCGCGCGCGCATGTACCGCCAAATCGGATCTGACTGGTATAGGAGGATATTGCCCCTCCTTCTCCAGCAGAGCAACTGGTGGATTCAAACCTCAAACGTCTGGCACTGCAGTGACAGCTTCTTGCCACTAGGCCACCAGAGCTCCCTGCATTTATCATTTTTTTTAAGTTCTTATAGTTTCTAAAGGCAACACTGTCCACCATGGGTGACCATGATCGCATTTGACACATCAGTGACACAGTGTTCAGCATCACAGCAACCACGAGTGACCTCTGTACAGCAATACCATTTTATCATTTCTTAAAGTTTATAGAGTTCCTGAAGGCAAGCTTTTTCGGAAGTGGATGCCACTCCTGCTTCCAAGCTTGTTTTAATCGGGGAGCTCCGCCAAACACTGTCCACCATGGGTAACCATGGTCACACTTGACACATCAGTGTCACAGTGTTCAGCATCACAGCTACCATGCCATCATTTCTTAAAGATCATAAGAGTTTCCGGAGACAAGCTATTTCAGAAGTGGATTCCATTCCTGCATCCAAGCTTATTTTAATCAGGAAGCTCCACCAAACACTGTCCACCACGGGTAACCAGGCTCACACTTGACACATAAGTGTCACAGTGTTCAACATCGCAGCAACCACGACTTCCCTCTGGACAGCAAGTGGACAGACCAGAGCTATGCCGCTCAGAAGAATATTTGACCGAAAACAATTAAAATCACCCACCTTTGGCTCGGCCGCATCACTCGGTCCTACTGATTGCTTCCAAGCGTCCTCTAGGCGGCTCCAGGAGGTTGCGACGTGATGGGCGCGCGCGTGTGACGTCATTACACGGCGCCGGAACCGCCTGCGTGCATTCGCCTTGAACACTTCCGACCCTCGCCGGCCGCCGTAGCGGAGGCGGCTGCGCCTCCTGCAAAGAAGTGGGGAAGTAAATGCAGGTGGTTTAAGGAAGTTGGCTGCTACTTTCTGAAGTTTCCCGGCGGTTGTAGAAAGGAACTGGTGGGAGTTTGAGTGCATGTGCTTGAGAGAGGAGAGGAGAGGAGAGACAGGTGGGCGTATGGAGGTCTGTGAGGTTCCTGGTGGGGAAGCAGGTGGGAGGCTGTGTCTGTGGTCACTGGCGGCGTGGACTCCTGTGTGCCGCGCTTAGGACCTTCAAGGTCCAGTCTGGGTCTCGGGTTTGTGTTGGTCACTCAGTTCTGAAGGAGTAGAGATGATAATTGCAATGCCTGCAGCTTAGGGTCCAGGGCTGGGATGAAATGCTGGGGCCAGTGGCCTCGGGCTGGGGGGGGGGGATCGTACTTTAGAGGGAGGTCCGGTCCCGCCCGCTCTGTGTCTGTGATATGGAGGGAGACTGGGCTTCAGAACCGCTGGACCCCGGCAACCTCAGCCGCTGACACCTTCGCCCGGAAGATGGAAAAGCCTTGTCCAGATAATCAGATCTTAGTGTGAAGCTTCGTCCACCATTCTGCCCTCTGGTCAGTGGCCCGCAAAGCGTCCTATCCATGCACACTTTCTGCCCTTTCCACGACATCGGGTTGATTTCTACCCTGCAGAAAGTGTGCGTTGTAGATTCTCGCTCTAGTGATCTGGTGGATTGAGAGTTCTGCTTCCAAACTAAAATCAGTCAGTTCGAATCCCCCAGCTGCTCCACAGGAAGTAATGTCCACTAACTTCCCATAGGACTTACAGCCCCAGAAATTCCGCTGGAGGGTCAGCTACAAGTCAGTTCTAAACACGTCACCATGGATGAGACGCAGGTACTTAGAGAGCTTTGGTGGAATGCTGGAAAGAATTGCCCAGCTAAGCCAAATTTCATGCCTCTGGTATGTGGAATCTTGCAGAGGCTCTGCTGTGAATTCTCAATATTCTCCACACAAAATTAACCATATTCAGATGCAATCATGTGGTGAAACTTCTATCTAGAAAGGCCATGTAAGACTGATCAATTGCACCGTGTAGAAATAATGTAGAAATGGCATTTCAGCTCCTTGTGTATTTAAAGAATATATATGACCTCAGGCTGATTTCAATCTGATACAAGATCTCTAAGTGTTCAGAGAAAGAGAGGAAGACTGTCAACAAGACAGATTGGCAGGGGAGCTCTGGTGGCCTAGTGGCAGGAAGCTGCACTGCAATCCCAGAGGCGCACAGTTCGAATCCACTAGATGCTCTGCTGGGGAAGGAGGGACAATCTCCTCCTGTACCTGTCAGATCTGATTTGATGGTACACAGAAATAATAAAATAAAAATAAATAAAATAAAAAAGACATATTGGCATAGCGGCTGCAACAGTGGCCTCAAGCATGTCACACATAGTGAGGAGGGGCTCGAAGGGGCATTTCATGGGGTCACTGTAAGTTGTAGTTACATAAGCAGCACCTAACAAGTGTTTTCCAGAGTGGTTGTCCAACTCTATTGTTTCCCCGGCCGATTGCATGCTTTTATGGGTTATTTTGTGAGTATGTTCCGTTGAGTCCCTGCCTGTCCAGCAGGTTTTCAGAGGCAGTAAATTAAATGCCCTCATGACAAGAGATTGCCCATCTTTCTCCTTGAAGCTGCTGGAGGATTTGAACTGCCAGCCTTTGTGTCCGTAGGGCAAGTCATTACCACTAAGCTATCAGAGCTGCCTTTTCCACATCCTTTTACATGGTATATTTAAAATATGTTTAAACATCTTCTTCCCAAAGTTTCGTTTACTTGCCATTCTTGTTCAGAATCCCATTTGACTACAATTTGAAAGCTTTGTATAATGGGAGGTAAGATTCAAGCTCCTTTTTTTAAAATTTTTTTCCCTTCATATGGGTATCTGATCGTTCAGGTGCCAGTTTTGAAAAGATACCTATCATCCAATGGACAATGACTAGGGAGGATGGAAGGAGAATTGACGCCTTTGAGCTGGGGTGCTGGAGAAGAGTATTGAATGTACCATGGACTGCCAAGAAAACAAACAGATTCATCCTGGAGAGGGTTAAACCAGGCTACTCCTTGGAGGCAAGGATTCTGGGGCTTCGTCTGACATACTTTGGACATGTTGTGAGGAGAGACAGGTCCTTGGAGAGGGACATCATGCTTGGGAGGGTAGAGGGATAGCGCAGGAGGGCAAGACCCTCTATGAGGTGGATTGATTCAGTGACTGGGGTAATCGGGATGGGTGTGTCAGAGGCAATGTGATTGGCACAGGATAGAGCAGGGTTCAGGGCTGTTGTACATAGGGTCGCTATGAGTCGCAAACGACTCGACGGCACATAACAACAACAAACAACAAATCTATCATCCATAGCTCTGGAATCTCTGGACCGGAGGTTTCCTTGCCGACTGGTTTAAAATGTTCTAGGTCACTCGATTAAGGGATGGTCAGTGGGGTGGGGGGCTTTGTGTTACCATGAATGGCAGAAGCAGTGGCTGCATCTCAGCACAGAGGTGATGTACCCCTCACAGTTCATTTTCCCTTCATCCCACAGGTCTTGACACCCCAACAGCCTGAGGAGGAAGGAGGAAGAGGTTAAAGAATTTGGATATTGTCATCTTCAGGGATGCCGTTCATGGGAGGTTGAACTTTCTCACAGCAAACACCTGATCTGGAAGACACAGGAACGGAGCTTTCTGGTAGCTGCTGATGCCCCCAAAACGAAAGAAAATGGACAGAGTTCAGGTGACAATTTTGTTTTCTTTCTTTTTATTAATTAATTAATTTCTTTTTCATTTCAATGAACATCTACAGAGATTTTGGAATTCCATTCATTCATTGTTGCACCCTTCTCCCCCCCCGCCCCCCATTTGCTCCTCTCCCCAAAAAGCAAAAGAAAAACTCCCTCATTGGTACACAATCCCCCCTGCACATCCCCCAATCCCACCCCCAACTCCGACAAATTTTTTTTAAGCCATGTTCTTAATTATCCTCTGTAGAACAAACACAGAAAAATGACAGTCGTGGTCTCCTAGGAGTTCTTAATCCACGTAGATCCCGGGGCAGAGAGCAGTTGGGGAACCTGAGTGTCAGGAGGCAGGATGGGTGTTAGAGCCACAGAGCAGGTGTCCTGCAGTGTCTTCTGGAAGACGGGCTGCTGAGTGTCCACTGACTGGAGCGAGGGGTAGGAGTCGGGGCGGACCACGTCCGTGCAGCAGTGGAGACCCACAGGGCGAGCTCCTCCTAATGTCCAGATCCTGGCT